ATAACTATGTGCGTTGACTATAACTTTCCTCGTTGTTTCTCATTAAGAAGAAAGGACTTTGAAATACACTTTTTAAGAGAGTATATACTTTTGTTAATTTCGACCATTTAAGAAGGCTTGTAATCAAATTCCACGACACCTTGCCATGCATTTGCTTTTGTTCCAAGGCATTGTCTTCGAGTCCCACTATCTATACAAAATCTTCGACTTTTGATTTTAACTCAAATTATCTCATGCCTTACTTTTGAAAAGTAAAACGAGTAAATACTTAGCTTTTATTTGGTTCAGTTAAAAATAAAATTTTCAGTAAATTTTAATAAAGGTTGTTGATGTATGGTTAAAAAAGTTGATTAAATTTGTAGGTCTCGTGAAATGTGTGTTTGAAAATAAGTTTGAGAAAAAAAGAGGATAACAAGATCTTAATTACAATAGAAATATTAATTGCAAAGGAAAGTTGGACGGAGGTGTGGGGGCAACGAGAGATAGAGGAAGGAGAATTTTTTTTCTTTGTTCTAAATAAAGATAGAGGTAAGATGTCGAAATATTACTCTTTAGTATGTTGGTAGAACGGAACTATTCGTGAAGGACTCGCTTGCTATAAAACTAGGTGTACTAATTACAAATTAGAAATTAACAGTACATGTAATTTTCACAATTAAGAACTGTACCCAGCCCCTTCCTCCCACTTAAAACAACCATATATAACCATCTCTTCTATTATATCCCGCAACTCTCTTCCACTCACTCACTCACTCACTCACTCACTGTTAAAACATCAAGCTCAACTCATGGAGAATCAGCTGCAAATGAAGAAGCAGCATTGGCCAATATTAACTGATCAACAGGAAGAAGGCCACCGTTGGGAAGGCATTGGGGTGAATGACGATAGAGGATAGTACAATTCAGTTAATGAATTAAATGGGACCACTATTTCTGTTAGGATATTTACGGTTGTTTTGTAGCCTATTGATTATTGTTTTAGCATACAAATTTGATTCAAAATGATGAGCATAATCCAAACGCAAATCCAGCACCAAACAACCATCATGTTCCAAATCTTAATGACCCCTGCAGTCCATATTATATTGGTAGCAGTGATAGTTCTGGGACAATACTGGTTACTCATGTCCTTGATAACACCAACTATTATGCTT